ATATATATATATATATATATATATATATATATATATATATATATAAAGAAGAAAACTAGCATTTCATTTGCTGCTGACTTAGAAGTGCTATTTTTTACAAGTGGTGTTAAACAATTAATATATTTGACAGTAGTTTTTTATTTGACTTAGCAATAAAAGGCATTTTGGAAGCAATGCGGTAAACATCCTGTAAATGGGAAAACAGTGGAATTATCTTCTGTAGTTAATTTAAACTTCCACCCATCTATTTTCTTACCTGCTTTTTCCTTCTCGGTTTGCGGGGTGCCTACTGTCTATCTCCAGCTGTCACTGTGCGAGAGGCAGGTACACACCCAACAGGTCACAGGTTCACTTGAACTTTTTATAAATAAAAAGGCCCACAGCAAAATACCTCTCAGCATGAAGTTTCCACTTCTTTCAATTAATAAGTTCGATTCAAAACTGCTTATGAGTAAGGATGATGTAATCGCAAAGAACACTTAGCATCTATCACTAACCAAAAAAATCTAACATTTCTCCTGTCCTAGAGATGTCCTGTGCATGTGACCTTCAGACCCAGACTTTTGGATCATGAGATTAAAGCAGAGGCTTTATGTCGCCTGCACCGGGCCAAGTTGCTCTGTGACACAAAGAGAAACGGACCCACTGAACAGGAGGTACACCTGCACGCTCACCGTCAGTCAACTTCTTCTTGTGCCACAGTTTTTCAGCAGCAAACTAATTTTTTAAGCTAAACCAGCTGAAACGCAAGAAAGGACTGTTTCAAAGATGAAGTTTTCTTACTGCAGCTGGAAGTGGGAGCTAACTGGCACTCAGTTGTTTACCCGCCAGGGAAGCCATCCAAGCTGTACCCAGGTGGTTTGGCCTCTCAGGTCTTTAGCATTCAGCCTACTAACCAGTGTTGCTACCTACAGCAGGATAGATGTGGACTCCGTGCTGTTTCTGCTTCTTTCCCAGCAGTGCTTTAGGGGGTTCAGATCTGCAAACATCTGAATCACCCCGAACATAAAATAACTGAAAAAAAAAAATGTTCAGCCAAGGTGTGCAACCCAACTGAACAGAAAGTCAAGGACATTTTGATTTTTTTTATGTGCAACAAAGTTCAGTCAGGTCATCTGGCCTTTTTTTGTTGTTGTTGTTAATAGATGTTTCGTCCTTCATCTAAAGGACTTCATGCTATTTTGAACCACTTTGCCTATGGCTGCCTCCGAGGAGTCAACAGGGGAGAGGGCAGGCCCCAGAAACCATCTTATCACCATCAAACTGGTTGGTCCACTATAAGTGAGTGTGCTGCTTGTGGGATGAGTTTGTTGTGGCTCCTCGGACTGATGAAGTCCTTTGGGTGAAGGATGAAATGTCTCAGCAAGAAAAGAGAGTCCAGATGACCTGACTTAACTTTGTTGGATTTTTTACCTGGATTATTGAGCATGAACTTTGATGTTTTTTGCATGATTTTTTTGTTCTCATTTAGTTGTGTGAGACTAAACTAAAGTCTAGTTTGGGACTAAACTAGACACTGTTCTGTGTTTACTGTTGGTTAATTTTACACATTAATTCATCCTTTTCTTTCAAATTCTTTTATTTCCCTTTTTTATTTTCTGTACACCATTTTTTCAGATGTTTGTCTCTGGTTGTAACTCAGACAAATAATGTGGTAATTAATAAAAATCAGCAAGTGTCATATAGTTTGTTCTGATGAGTTCATGTGTAATATAGGTTGAAAGTGTGATGCCGACAATCTGTAGTGACCTTCTAGCTGTGCTGCATTTCTCTCACGTTATTGTTATATTTGTTTTCTTTGATGAAAAAGGAGAGCCTCGTGGGATCCAGTAAAGGGGAAAAGATATCAGCTAATTCAAAGAAGAGCAAGATGTCAGAAAACCTTGTTTTGACCAAATCACCTGACCCAATCTGCATACAGCCTGGGTAGATATATTTTCTAAAAAAAGAAAATAATAATTTAACCTTTATTTATACAGGTTTATTTATACTTTATTTAACTGAACTTCATTTAATTCATTTTTCTAAATTATCCGTCCTAGTTAGGTCTAACAGGGCTAAAATCTGAGATCCAAACTTGAACTATAAAATACTTGTGCCCTTTTTTGTTGATTCTTTTCATGTCATCAGTATTCCCATTTCTTTAGACTTGTAATCGCAAAAAATATAATAAAAACAGAAAATCTTTTTTTGTTTGTGTGTGTAATAAAGCTTTGGTTTAAAAGTGAGTGTTTTTCCTTTGAAGGTCGGAGCAGTACGAGGAAGCAAAGGCCTCGTTGCTCTACTCCTTCACTCAGCGCTACAGAGAGCTCACCATTCCCTGTTTCGTGTCAGATGGAGTCCCTCCAGAGACAAACGGACAAGTCCAGCCAGCGTGGAGGTACATCACCTTCCAGATACAGACACATGTACTGTAATGGCCTTGCCATTTATTGGTGGAGTGTTTTTTTAATGACTCAAAGTAGAAACATTATTTTAAAGTTATTGTAACATAAACACTCGCTGTAAACAGTTTGCTTTGCCTGGTTTAGAAGGCCATTTAATTATTATGTTTTAAATATTACTTCATTTTGTTTTTTTATATTTATTATGATCTAACATGTATATGATATTGTCCAAGCTTGTACCTTGCATATAAATGTTACCTCTAAAGCTGATGCCATGCTTGCTGGCTGTAAAATACAGTCTGATTAAAAAAAACATCTATTTATTGATCACAGCAGTGCTTAACCTTTTCTTTTTTTTAAATTTTATTGACTTTTATATTTAATTAATTAGAAGGAAAACATCACAGAATAAACATAAGGAAGCTCAGAACTTGTTACATCAGTGACTGAAAGAGTATTTTGAAATAAACGCATAATATAGAAGATGTTTTATTTACAAGGCTGCATTACAGAAATTCTGAAGTTGCAGAAATATTCTTCACTCTCTTACCCCAGTAGTTACCAAAACATTAGGGTCTGACCTAGAAAGCATCCATTCATTATCTTTTACCCTCTTCTTCCATTTTGGATCACGGGGGTCGCCAGTGCCCATGTCCAGCAATCACAGTGCGAGGGGCGGGGTACACCCTGGACAGGTCGCAAGTCCATCACAGGGCCACATAGAGACAAACAACCATTCACTCTCTCACTCACACCTAGGGACAATTTAGAGTTACCAATCAGCCTAACATGCATGTTTTTGGTCTGTGGGAGGAAACTGGAGTACCCGGAGAAAACCCACGCATGCACAGAGAAAACATGCAAACTCCACCCAGAAAAGACCCTGGACCGGGATACCTAGAAAACAGTATTTTAAAAAATGGCTCAGGTATTTATTTACTTATTATTAGAAATTTATAAAAATAAACAAATAAAAAACAGAAAATTTAATATTTAGCTTATCTTAAATTGTTCCGGCTTGAAGACCAAAAGTAAAAGTTTTCAAAGTAGTGCTGTATAAGAATTATTGTAATCTAACTGCAAAAATAAAAATAAAAAAATATATCTTTAAATGTACATCATACTTTTTGGTATTAAATAGGAGGCTGGAGTAGCTTGGGGGTTAGTGCCATCGTCTTATAATCCTGAAGCTGCCCAGGTTGTGTCAGGAAAGGCATCGGGCGTAAAAATAATTACTGAATCTTTCATGTGTGTTGCTATGGCAACCTGTGCAGACGAGCGCAGTTGAATAAACAACTATCTGGTACTTCATATCATGTAGAAGTTATTAATAATGATGGCTGAATGCTGTTTTTTGTTTTCTCTAACAGTTTTTCTCTTCAGTTTAGGAAGAGTTACTGTTTATATTTAACTCTATATTTTGGGTTTTTTAACTACAAGCCTTTTTGGTTTGTTCTTTTGCTGTTTAATTATTTTAAACATTTGTATTCATATGTAATGACCATTTAAAAATAGCCTAAACATATTTAAACAAATATTCAATATTTTCTTTGCTTTCTTGACTGCACTGGAAGCTCTCAGGAGCATTTTTTAAATATTTTTTGACCCCTCAGTCTAATAAAATCAGATGAAGTGCGTGCAACAGTGTTTTTGTTATCTTAAATATGACATTTCTCATCTTGGTGCTTGTTGTTAACCCTCAGTGACATGAATACACTCTACCTGAAGCTGCAGTGCCTGGCTGTACAGCCCCCTCTGGTGGGACTATCCAACAATGGCCACAACGTCATAGACTTCCATCAAGTGGTTCTAGGTGAGAAAATGTCCTCAACTACACGATCATCTCATTAACTCAGATGTTTCCCTTGTTTGTTGTGCTCACATGTTTGTGTCTATATTTGTAGGAGAGAGAGTAATTAAAACATTTACAATTCAGAACATTTCAAATGAATCTGTGGATGTATCCTTTCTTCATAAAAGTTTTTTTTTTTTTTATCAAATATATGCTACTATTATTTAATTTATTTTTAAATAATTATCCTTAATGACATTTGGGTTCTGCAAGCACTTCTAAAGACACGTGTATGCATTATTTTTAAGTATATTACACACAATGTTCCTTAAGTCTATCTTTTCTTTCATTTAAATTTTAGTCTATTTTCACCCAAAGCAGGACTAAAAATTATTTACTTTTAGCTGTAGAATTATTAATCATCACAAATAATGTGTGTTTTACCCAATGAAACTTGTTGGACTTCACACTTTTGTGTCCAGGAATCAAATAAAGCAAATATTTCTTAATAAACTCTGCCCGATTTTCTTTGATTATCTATAAGTTGATGTCATCCGTGTTGGACGTACGTGGTCCTTTTTCTCTCCTGAATGCTCTGAGACGCATACATCCAGGGGGAAAACACACTTTGGTTCTTGCTTTCAGCCCAGCTCTGGAGATGAAGGTAAGGCCAACAGCATCAAATTTACTACATATTATCGGCACTACACAGTACAGGCATTTTGCCTGTTGTAGTCAGGATAAGTGTACTTAATTAAGACATTTGTCAATAACCGCTGTCATCATGAATAATTTTCAACTTGAAATATTTGTATTATGTTACTTTATGCCTTTACTCTTCTCAAGTGCCTTGAAACACTAGAGCTGCGAAGCCTTAACATGGTTTTGGAAATAAGTCTGTGTGGAGAGGGTGTTCTCCCTGCTGTCACCTCATCTCACACTGGAGGTCTCCTTGACTTTGGCTTTGTGTTGGAGAAAGAGACCACTTCACAAAGTGTGCAGGTCAGTGAATCAAGGTCCATCAAGGTCAACTATACACGCATTTATACAAAAAAGGGGCTGCATCTTGATAGTTGATATGATATTTTTTGTTAAATTAACATTTTAGCTCGGTTTATTTGACGTTCGTTCTGGTGCTGAGCTTTGTTTTACATGCAGTTACAGAACAACTCTGTGGTGGCACTGGGGTTCAGCGTGCGGCTGGCCAGTCTGTCTTTCTCCAGGCATCAGGATGGAATCGACAGAGTAGCCTTGCTGCTGGATGGATACAGAAACACTCAGATCCGGCCTGTTGTAGGCAAGTAGTAAACATATCCTGAGAACATTTGATTTTAGAGCTCCATAAATAAAGTCAAAACTAAGTTTGTCAAAAAGTTGCTCATAAGCTCATTGTCAGAAACACAGAGGTGGGTGGCATATTAAAGAACATCATAAAGAAAATAATTAAGAAGCTTTAAAACCAATAAAAAAGGGCCTCTACAACATAGGACCCTACTAAAAGGTTGGTTCAGTAAGTGCAACAATGTTATAATTAATGTGTTTTAATTGGCTTTGACCTAAATACTGTATATAAATGTTCTTAACTTTTTTGTTTGTTTTATTAGCCTTAAAATATGTTGCTATAATTTGATTTACAAAAGAAACCAACCATAGAAACTGGAATGGAGGTCAGATTTTATACTATTGTGCCCTCATGTACATGTGGGATGTCATCACCTGTATGTTGTAGCTACCAAAACAACATCTGAGATACTTTTTTTACTCAATTCATGGTGTGAAATGAGAAACTATCTGGTGGAGAGAGGTCCAGGTGAAATTTGCATGTTCTTTCCGTGCATGCATGAGTTTCCTCTGGGTACTACGGTTTCCACACCACAGACCAAAACATGCATGTTAGACTGATTGGTAACTCTAAATTGTCCCTAGGTGTGAGTGAGAGAGTGAATGATTGTTTGTCTCTGTGTCCCTGTGATGGACTGGAGACCTGTCCAGGGTGTACCCCACCTGGACATGGGCACCAGTGACCCCGACCCGAAAAAGGATGAAGCAGATAAAAGATAATGGATGGACGGATGGCTTCTTTCAGTCCACTCATGTAGATTAAAATAGAAACAGTCACTAAAACAAAAACAGATGCTTAGGAGACTGAAAGCAGGTGAGGAAAATCCAAACTGAAAAGACTGGATAGTGGAAGACAGTTTCCTATTACAGACATCATGGCAAATCTGAGCAGAGCCTAAAGCTACAAGGCAGTCCCATTGTATGAGCACAGCACCTGCCACATTTTAAAACAGGTTGTGAGTTCAAGCTCTTTGGAAAAAGCACAAAAACAACTGCACAGTGAATGGCTGAGGGAAGTCAGATACATCATGCTTACTTCCATTTGCCTGATGAAAGTAGAAGTGATAGTATGACTCGCATAGAACCTTGATATCCAAGTCATTGAGTGTGTCTGAAATTTTGTGAACTATAAGGAGAAATCTGAGCAGCCTATACAAATCTGTGGTCAGCTCGAAGGTGTGTGGAGCTTCAGAAACTACATGGAAGTGTGTATTTAAATTAAGTTAAATGCTGTTTGGCCTTCATTATATAGAAGGCAGTTGTGTTAAATATTGGTTTGATTGAGATTTTTCTTCTGTTCATCTCTGTTGCATTTTTAACTGATAAACTTTTGTAATTTTTGTGAAACAATGTGTCAGGGACCCAGAACTACAGTGGTCTAAGTGTGTTCAGTGTGAAGCCAGTAGAGGGCAGCATTGCTCCTGGACAGACCCAAGACATCACCATCACGTTTCAGCCTGACCACCCTTCTGTGAACTTCTCTGACAAGCTCACCATAGAGCTCATAAATAAGGTCAGCACAACACAAACACACATATTTCCATCCAGGGTCTTTACTCAGCTCGTGCTTGTCCTTAACCACAGGTTTGCAAGATGAACCTGATAGATATGAACATGCGCTTGTCTAATGTGTTATTCAAACATGCTCGCTGTACCCCGCATGTTCTCACTCGACTTTGGTTTTGTTTTTGTTTGTTTTTTTGTAAGAAAACCACTGTAACCCTCTGTCTTCTAGAGTAAAGTGTGTGAGGTGAATCTGAAGGGTGCAGCCTCGTCACATAACATGTATCTGCACGGAGGAGACCTGCTGACAGTGCCCATCGAATCTCTTCTCCCCCAGCTTCACCTCACAGGTATTATCTGTCTGTCCATGAGGGCCACCACATGTGTGTGGATAGAAATCATGCATTCTCTGAAAATAAACATTTTAGTTAGGCCTGTCGCAATAAACGATAAATCAATTAATCTCATGATAAATGAAAATTATCGACCTCATTTTCATTTATCGGCTTTATCGTTTCTTCGTCTATCTACTGAAGACAACGGATGACAAAAGGTTAAACTCCAGTGCTCTTCACTGACTCCACCCTTTCTCTTTTCTCTTTAAAATCTGTTTTAACAATCAAACAATTTCAAACAATATTATTGCTTATCGCAGTAATTTCTGAGACAATGAATCGCCCAGCAAAATATGTTATCGTGACAGGCCCAATTTTAATTCCAACTCCTTAAAGCTGTTTTATATGTCTTTGACACTTTCCATAAGTTTACCAAGAGAGTGTGTAATGAAATCATATATTGTTGTTTTTCACCAGCAGTCAGGTCATATTTTACCACAAAATTATTGTGTACAAATAAGCACACTGCCCATGAGTTGTAACAAATTTTACACACTCATAATCAGCCAATGCATTCAACCACTGTAGCATCAGCAGCCACATAATATAATTCGTACCACTTCATTGTGACTGCATCACAGAAATAGGGCTCCAGTCTAAAAGATCAAAACTTTTTAGTCTTCTTGTTTCTCACTGTAATCTGCAGAAACTTTAATATTGAAATCTGGAGAATTCTGAGAGCAGCAAAAAAGGAAGTACTTTATTTCCATAACATCCTGTGTGTTGCAAAATCTATATCACAACACCAAATTTCAAATACATGCTACACAGGAGAACAAGTTATGAGACAATCTGCAGCTGGCAAACAGGAAGAGGCAAGATAGAACCAGAAAATGCACACAGCGGAGCTGATTCATAGGAGACACTATCAAATTCTGTTGGCATTGAGGAGATTATTTAACTACTTTAAAAACCTTGCAAGACGTGATTAATTTTTTTCATGGGGATTTTCTAAGTCCAACCAAATGTACTTTTTTCCACACAAATTTATGAGAAAAGTACATTTGATTTGTATTCCTTTTCTATTGCTCAGTCATAAAAAGCTTAAAAAGTGTTGTAGCAAACTGATCATGAAGTGTTCCGTGGTGGTAAACCCAATAGGGCAGTTGCTTTTTATACCGTTTTCAGAATTAGTTTGACCTAGAAAGCTTTAAAATGACAAACAATAAACCACAATGAGTGAATTTCCTGTGAAGTGCATTTTGTTCTGACAAGAGAAAGCTAACACAAATGTTAGACACAATTTATTTAGACTCGTGTTCCATCGAGTATAATTTTAGTCGTAACAGATGTAGAATAACTACAGTAAAAATCTAAATATTTCAGATCTGTTTGATGGGAAAAACATTATTCTGACTTGTTGTACTCAGCAGTATGAGATGGTTCATCGTCATGTCAAAGCATTTATAGTGTGAACGCTTATGAAGCTTTCACACTATTGTGATCCATTTTTCTTATGTTTTTTGGAATCTTTCTTCTTCCACAATTTTCATGATATTTCAACAAATCATAAATCAAAACATTCAGCTCTTTCAGGACAATCTTGCTATGACTTTTAGTATAGGTGCAACTTTAGCTTTTTTTTTTTATTTAGCCTTTTCTGCCTTTTTTTTTTTTTTTTTCTCTCATGGAAAATGAATTGAGCTCATTTTACATCCTACAAATCTTTAGATGTGTTTATAACCTTTTACTGCTCCTTTCACATTTTGTTCTGGTTCAGCTTATTTCAGCTTCCTTGTGCAAATTTTAACTTTTTTTTTATCTACTTTCAGCTAATTTCTGCTGTTTTTTTCAGCTGTTTTGTGCTCCTTTCAGATTCTTTTAGCTAACTACAACATTTTTGTGCTTCTTCTAACTTCTTTCTGCTAATTTCAGCTTCTTTCTGTGTTTCAGCTATTTCTGCTATTTCACCTACTAGCTGTTTGTGTGCTAATTTTAGCGTTTTCAGCTAATTCCACATTTTTTGCACTCATTTCAACTTTTTTAGTCTAATTCAGAAAAAAAAACGTGCTCTCTACTTTATTCTAATCATTTTAGCTTCTTTCAGCTTTTTTGGCTACTTTTCAACTGTTTTTTTTGTTGTTGTTGTTGTTGTTGCTACTTTTAGCTTTTTTTCAGATAATTTCCACTATTTGTGCTCATTTCTGCTTCTTTCAGCCTAATTGGGCAAACTTGTGCTCTCTCCACTTCCTTCTGCTAATTGAAGCTTGTTCTACCTTTTCAACCACCTTTTTTAAGCATTTTTGTAGCTAATTTCAGCTGTTTTCAGATAAATTCAAGTTTTCTGTGATAATTTCTGCTACTTTCAGCCTCATTAACTTCTTTCTGTTAATTTCAGCTTATTATGCTCCTTTCGGGTTATTTCTGATAGTTTCAGCTTTTTTTGATATTTCAGCTACTAGTTAGCCATTTTTGTGCTAAATTTAGCTTTTTCAGCTAATTCTACTTTTTTTACTCATTTCAGCTCCTTCCACTTCCGTTTATTTTATCTTCTTTCTATTCTATCTGTTTCATGTTGTTGTGTTCATTTGTACTCTTCTGCTCACACAGACTCAGGTTTGTGCTGCTGTTCAGCGTATTGTTTTTATGCTATTGGTGCTTAGCGTATTTTTAGTTAATGGTTTTTTTAGTTCATATCTTAGCTCTTATTACTGTTTTTCTTTTACATTTTATTGTTGGATGTAACTAGGACTCTTTCATTCCACCACATGTACCACATGTGGTGCGAATGACAAATAAAGAAACTCTGACACTGACAGTCTTTTCAGCTATTTTCTTTTGTTAATTTCAACTTTTTTTTAGCTAATTTCCTTATTTTTGTACGAATTCCTGCTTATTTAAACCTAATTAAGCAAATATGTGTTCCTTCTGCTTCATTCTGCTAACTTGGGCTTGTTCTTCTATATCGGCTGCATTTCAGCTGTTTTCAGCAAGTTTTTCAGCAATCAGCATTCATACTGCATTTTCGCAGGAAGTGCAAATTCTCTAGTTTTAATTAAACTTTAAGGACTACCTGGTATGTATGAGCTGTTTTATATAAACTTGATCAAAGCTGAAACCTGCAACACGTTCTGTTGCAGAGTCACAGATGGCGGAGAGGCCAAATATCCCCGTGCTGGTGACCCTGCAGGCCAGCTACAATGCAGGTGTCATCAAACCTGCGGTCAGGGAACTGCATGTTGGCTGCATCCGCTCCTCAAACACCAAAAAGAAGGTACTGAGGTTTCACAGAAGTAAAAGATACAACTTACTCTTTCTGTAGGTTTATTATTCTTTTTTTGGTTGTTCCCCTTTCAGGGGTTGTCATAATCCTCGTTTTTCTTTTAGATGCAATATGGAAAAAATATTAACTGCTTCAACAAACCAGTGAACAACATTTTTCAGACATGACGCTTATCTTGTTTTAGTTTTCCGTTTTTGTGGTTTTCCAGAGTGGAGAGTTTTACTGGGATAGTGTGGCCCCTCTGCAGCAGCAGGGCTTCAGTGTGGAGCCTCTGAAGGGCAGTGTGGAGGCAGGTCACAGACGCACACTCACCATCACATGGGCTCCCCAAAGTGGATACAAGGTAAAAAAAAACACATAACTTTTATAACTTATTAAGAAACTGGTTAAAGAAATGATGTTTATAGTCAAATGATCGTCCTTTAATAACATCCCAAGACTCTGTGTCCCAGTTGTGAAAGTGTAGAAACTGTTATAGAGACCCAAGTCTTATTCTCAAAAGAGGACACATTTTGGGGGGAGAAAAAGACTTTAAAACAATAAAAAAATAAATGAACAAATGTGGATTTTTTGTTTGTTTGTTTGTTTGTTTATCAGGTCCATCTAATACAAACAAAAGTTCAAGTCTCAGGAAAATAAAAATGAAATCACTAATTGACAAAACATTTAGAGGCACTAAGATTATAAATTGTATATATATTTTGCTTTAGTTTCATTGCTTTAGGTTAAAAAATATTTTTCCAGCAAATCTAATGCCCGGTTATTAGCATCCTGCAAACATTATAAATAATATTATAAATTATATTTTGTACTTTAATATCTGCATCATCATTAAGAAATGAGATCCTGGAAGAAAATAACTGAAATCTGAACTGAGCGTGTGTGTGTTGATGTGTTTCAGCCTTCAGAGGTGGTGCAGATGTGTGTGTCTCTCACTGTAAAGGGGGATGAGACTCGTACTTACCGAGTCACCTTGATGGCTTTGGTCTCACCAACTGCTGAATGATCCATACTGGCCCCGGCTGCTGACCCGTGGAAGGTCTGCAAACCCTAGTTTAAAATCTTGTACTTGTACTGTAATTAGTACTGAATATGTTGCGGTCAAGACTCTCAGTTTTAAATAAGGCTTTGAAGACTTGTGTCTATGAATTTCATTCTCAGTTTGTGTTCTGTAGTTTTATTTTTGAACAGAGAACACACAAATGTTACAATAAAAGAAAGCTTCCCTAAGAGACTGTAGTTGGATTACACTGGTGCTGTTCTTTAAACATTAAAATATTTTGTAAACACTGGAATCCTTTTTTATTTATCTTGATATGACAATCCTAGAGACAAGTAGGCTCTTTTCACTCTGGGAAGCTCAGTCCTCACCTCCTTCTACAGGTGTGCAGTGGAGAGCATCCTGTGCTCCAGCATCAACGTGTGGCATGGAGGCTGCACAGCTGCAGAAAGAAAAGCTCTGCAGAGAGTGGTGAAGGCTGCACAGAAGACTGTTGGAGTCAGGCGCCCCACCATCACAGACATTTACACCTCCAGATGCAGGAAGAGAGCCACCTGCATCATGAAGGACCCCACTCACTCAGCACACTTTTTGCCCCACTCCCCTCAGAAAGGAGGTCAAGGAGCATTAAGTGTAGAACCACTAGACTGAGGAACAGCTTCTACCCTGAGGCTGTTAGACAGAATAATCACTGAAAAATCACATCATGTTGCTGCTGATCTGTTTCATGTTGCTGCTGATCTGTTTCATGTTGCTGTGTTCATTTGTGCTCGTCTGCACACGGAGAATGAACTACGTTCAACGCTGAACCCGCTGCTGTTTGGAACTATTTCCCGCTGCATGACCCACGTGACTTCCGCATTCCATTCTTTCTATGGGAGTCTATGGGAGTGTCGCAACTCTCTCTTTACAGGGCTCTGAGACACGCTGTCTGTTTATGTTATAGTTCAGGATTTGTATTCTCCATTTAGCAGAATGCTCTTAACGGGTTAGAGTATTTAAGGACTGAAGTGGGGTAGAGGTAGGGCAGCCAACCTGGGACCAGAAAGTCGTGGCTTGACTCCTCGCCATTCCCACAAGTCGTGGTGTCCCTGAGCAAGATACCCAATCCCTAATATCTCCCAGGTGCCTATATAGCTGCCCACTGCTCCACCTGGGTGTATCCCACATGTGATGGGTTAAATGCAGAGAACTAACTTCACCATTCTATGGAAACATACATTGACGACAACATAGCACTTGCTTACATGACTTTTTGCTCCTACTTGATGTTATAGTTGCTTGGAATCACTACAGTACTACTTCTGTGGTTTGTCCACCACCACAGAGTCCAGTTGGTTAGGCATCACTTGCAGGCCCTCAGCACAAGAGCAATAGAGGTCGGGTTCTACTGTACCAGACAGAGCCCAAGATGCAGCCAATGCAAGAATGACCCTGCGAGGGTCCAACACGTGGACCTGATGCACATCATACTGTATATGATGCACATCATAGCAGGATGTAAGATGCAGGAAGGCAAAGCATACATGGACGCCATAACCAAGTGGCTGCAGTAATATACAGGAACATCGGTGCCGAGTATGGACTGGAGGTCCCACAGTCAAAGTGGGAGACACCACCACAGGTGGTAAAGAATGGAAGAGCTAAGATACTGTGGGGCGTCCACATTCAGACAAAGTGATGGTTGACAGTTTACTGTGGTGGTTGACAAGCTGAAGAAGAAGTCAGTGGTTTCTCTCCTGGACTAGTTGTCTCCATGACCCGATGGATGGATGTCCTTCTATAATAATTGGAAAATGCACACAATTTAGACAACCGCTAACTAGTTTGAATATTTTATTGGAAAACAAGCTGTCTTAAGAATATAATAAGTTTCTTGAAGTAGGGTATATAAAGTTAGGAATATACTGTATTCAGTGATTTAAAAAAGGTGTTATACTTATCCAACATTTTTCAGTCAGGTCATCTGGACAGTTTCTTTTTTTTGTGCTGAAACGTTTCAAAACTGAAACTGTCCAGATGACCTGACTGAAAAATGTTGGATTTTATACCTTAATTATTGAGCATGGACTTTGTTGTTTTCAACCAGTTTGACAAGACTGTCAACAAGGAAGAGGGCCGGCAATGGAGGAGGGGCGTACCAAAGAGACCATCTTATCACAAGCAGAACTGGTTTGTTCCACTTTGGAGTAAGCTGTTGGAGGAAGAATCAGTTTTGTTGTGCGTTTCCTTGACTGATGAAGCCTTCTGGATCGAAGGTGAAACGTTTCAGCACAAAAAAAGACTGTCCAGATGACCTGATTGAAAAATGTTAGCTTTTATACCTGGATTATTGAGGATGGACTTTGTTGTGTTATACTTATATTTGTGTTCAGAGCAGGAAGTGTCCGTGTGGCCACTTTACCTATATTTTTCAAGCATTGATGCCAACCCACACCGAGTGCAACTCTGTTAGGCCCTGCAGATCTGAACAGCAGATGTCAGTAATGCCTTACAATGGGCCAATAGGATTTGACCTCTCAGAGATACATGCAGTAAGCATTTATCAGAGATTCTAGGAGATTATGTTAAATCAGATTACTGTATCCCAACCTGCCTATAAAAAGCAAGGTCATTAAAAGCTTAGCCTCATGTAATGTCACCCGTTTTATGAAATGTATTAGAGCATATTAGGCTATTTTTGTGTCGCTGTTTTGCCTCTTTAAAATCTGATTTCTCCTCTAATCTCTCACTAATACTAAAAGATAGTGCTACTTAAAGTCAATGCGCAGGCTAACTGTGACGTTTATGTGTCTGAGTAAATCTGTGTAAGAACGGAAATGTCACAAAAGGGGGAAAAAGAAGCAACTATTAAGATGCTTTCTTGCAGGTCATCACCATGAGACCACGACTTATTTACTTCACGAAAACACAACTTGTACTCATACTGTCGAAACTGATTACAAGCTGAACAGAACGAACGTGCAACATGAGATGCAAAAAAAACAACAGTGTCACCTTGCAGAGATTTTACTGGCTATAACATTATTAATTTAAGGTGGGGAAAGTAATAGTTTTATATATGTCTAAGGTTTTAAAATAAAAAATGCATCTTTAAGGATTACCAATTTAGCATACTGTGTGTTTAAAGCTAAATTAGCATTTAGGCTAATGCTTAAATCACTCGCATCAGTGTATGAACTTTTCTGTTGTCCTCATCATGAGGCTGAACAAGATGTCTCTCCTGGGTGCTCTAAAGCGCCTCTAACGAAGCCTCACAACACATGCATGCAGACCGGCCCGGGTGTATCCAGGGGCAACTAAATCTTAGCAGCATTAACCTGGGTGGATGAGTCCCAGTGGAAACCAATATCCAGAGCATCACCTGTGTCTGCACATTACATTTTATGTGTTTTATATCAAATCTTAAAATCAGTTCATGTTATCAATTACCACGATTAGATAAAACACCAATCGATGCAAACTTCTCCCCTGTGTGCACTTGCGTAGATGAGTATTTTATTTTTTTGGTGGGGTTTATTTCAATTAAACAGCTGTTTGTGCTTCAATAAAGGCACACTAATATGTTTGCAGTCGTTCATCGTAGTCGATCGTTCCTGCAGAGTAGCATCTCTTCAGTTTCCTGCGACAGGTTTGAGGAATGCACAAACTTATTGACTCTGAATATATTGACTCATAGTTTTAATTTAATTTTCAGCTGTTGTGTTATTCACCACCATCATAACTAGTAGTGATCTATATGGGTATTTCAATGCTATTGCTGTTTCCCACCTTGCATTCCATGCAGATCATGCCAGTAGAACAACTGGCTTTAAAATTTGAATGTCAAAACAACAACACTAAATGGATTCAAAACAACAACAGCAGCATTCAAGAACTTTCTTCCAACAAAGCTGCTGCCCCATCGGACTGAGCCCATGCACACTTTGTTGCCTCAGAGGACAACGAAGCGTTCCATGTCTCCAAGTAACGCCTGAACCCACTGAGCATTAACCCCTCCACTGAGCAAACTACCTAGACTACTGGTGATAATGATCAAGTCATCTCTACAGTGATGGTCCACCCACAGGAAGTAAATCCCTAATGACTCTTCAGCCTGAACAAGACCACAGAGCCATTAGTCTATAAGCAAGGAAACATGGCCAAGTTATTATTCAGAATATTTAGTTTGTCAACAGAAACAAAGTTCAATAATAGCTCCTACTCGCAGCGTGTGGCGTATTTATTTTATTAAGCGGGATGGAGGAATTGGTTAAGAATTAGTTGTATAATTAATCCTCAATATGTGACTTTTTGTGATTGTTTTATGTAACAAACTCTAAAAGGCTCAGCAAGTCATTGTACACAAAGTATGCCTGTAGTGGAAGTGAACATTTGTCTGCTTTGAATTTCAAATGAGACAGTGTTGTTGCTTCTTCCCAGGTAACAGTCAGTGTCCTGACATTTTCATACCACAGACATGCAAAGCAACTTTTGGAAAATGTCCAGTTGGAAAAAAAAAAAAACCTCCAGGGTGTTTTAAAAGAAAAAAAAAAAGAAATGTAGGGATAAATATATACGTAATGAGAAAATATTGATAGACCCATACTTATTTGTTCAAGTTCAAGAATCTTTTTTTTATCCCCAAGGTGCAATTTGTTTCACAGTCAGTAGTCACACAAAACATCCACACTAGACAAGACATTGAGACATTAAAATAATATTTGAAATCACTGCTCGTTGAGAAGCCTGATTGCTACAGGGACGAATGAGTTTTTCAGTCTGTTCGTCCTATATCTGTGCAGCAGATACCTGCGTCCAGATGGAAGCAACCTGAACTCACCATGGAGTGGATGATCAGGATCTGCCAGAATCAGTCTGGCCTTGTTCACTGATCTCGCCTTGTGTAGGTCAGTGAGGTTCTGTAGGGCTACGCCAGCAGTTTTGCTGCATATCCTGACAATCCCTGAGAATTTGTTCCCGTTTTTGCATGACAAAAGTCCAAACCTGATGAAAGTAAAAGAGAAAACACGAATAAAACATTCTCAAAAGTATAATCAATATTAGCAATATATTTGTCAGGGGCGACTTATAAAATTAAGGTAAAATTTCGAGTCAACACCCAAATAATTAAAATACTATCAGTGTCAATATATAATGATATAATTGATGATTATATGTAAACAAATGCAAATAAAGTTAGTCGGATTCAAACTAAAATTTCCCCTAGTTGGTTAAGAGTATTTCTTTTTAGAAACTGAATCTGTTGAACGGAAAACAGAAGCTCACGTTTTACGCTCATACAAAAATAATAATAAAGTTTGTGAGCTTTTCAAAGTGATTTAATATTGACTAGGTGTGCCCGTGTTACCGAAGATGGCAGCATTTCCTGATTTCACGGAGTGGTCGCCGACCCTTCGCTGTACGTTGTGACGCTGCCGTAACGTGGGGTTTCCCAGACCTGAATGCAGGGTTACCGCGCCCATCTCTGCTGTTTGATGGCCGGAGGAAGAAGCGACTGAGATCCTGGCGTGAAGGAAGAAACAGAGGGACGACGACGGTGGGAACGAGAAGAAGGGCTGCTTGCATATAGTTGGAGTGTGCGTCGACACGTCGGAACGCTCTAACGGGACTCTTGACTCGTCTGCCTGGGTGAAAACCGCCTTATCTCCGCGCCGGTGTATCTCCCCCTCGGCGGGTCAAAAACTGGGTTCGGGGAGTGCCGCTCCTCGGAGGCTAAACTTCATAAATTTAAGCGCCTGGCCCTAACGGAGGAGACAACATTTAGCTGTTTCTAGTCAATGTGATACAAACAACGGATACCTTCGACTGAAAGCGGGTAAGAATGCAATTTGATGTTTAATTCTGCGCTTCAGGAAATGCACAAGTGTCTGCAGTTTGCTAGCAGGGACGGTGAACCTGGGTTAGCTGCTGTGTTAGCCTGTCGCTGGCTCGTTGTTGCTGCCAACGCCGTGGGTTGGAGCGACGCTTAAATAAACCCAGGTCCGAAATAAAAGCGTTATTTTAAATCCAAACAACTCCGGCTGGTGCGATGGAGAGGCTAATGGGTGATGCTAACTTTAATTAGCAGGTTAGTGTAGACACTCCAGGGTGTCCGGGTTTATTTTGCCTCGTCTCTCATCGTCTGCTTAAATTAAATCAGCTTCTTTTAATGATCGAACAACGTTTCAGTCTCGACTTGTGGGGCATTTTTTAGTGAGCCCGGTCAAAGCTGCTTCACCGTCTGTGGCCCTCATGTTTTCATTTGTTCACCCGAATATCAAGCGTTTACTTGGCTTCACGTGAATCGTTTTCCGTGGTTGAATCGCGTCACAAAGTTGCTAATTAAGATCGCAGAACTGGGACAAAAACGCGAGTGACGTTTGGATTTACTTTCACTCGGAGCATAATTGTAGCATCACGGATTGACAACGAAGGAAGTCTAAAAATGGCTACTTCGCCCAGCAGTGTCACCACCACCACCCTCATTCTGTCTCCCGTCCATACACGTCTCCACAAAACACGCTTGAGAGCTGGTATCCAAGTGTTTAAAACGAACACGACAGGCCAAAACGGTGCTTATGTGTTCACGTATACCGCTTTCTTTTAAAGGTGTTAAAATGTCAGCGTAGCTCCCGTTTTCCAGCAGTTTAGGCCCGGTTCGGATCAGATGGACTGCTTGAACCTGGCGTTAAAACTTCACCGAATCGAAACCAAACCGGTGTGGGATTACAACTGCTGCGGTGTCGCCGTTCACATCTGACCCTCAGCCTCGCGTTTACAGGATTAAAGAGGGGACGTTGTGCGTGTTTGTTGGAAAACTACAAGCGACACGGCGTCGAGAAATCAAACCGCCTACCTGAAAGAGGCCATAGCCATTTTAGCTTTGAGCGTCACACACCGGTGTCGGTTCGACCTTACATTCAACTTCTGCTTTTAACGATGCGAAAACCAGATTTGTCTTAATTGGATTTCGACAATCGGTTTATTTCGATCGCGGCTCGTGTTAGCTCCTGGAAATCATCGTGCTCTGTAGCTTCCAGCTCCAGCACGGCGAATCATGATATCCACCACACAGCACCGAGCTACAGTCAGCACAGAATGATTTTTTTATTTTATTCTCAGTCAAATACAGTAAAACGCCTTTTAAGATTTGGGTTTTGAGTTAATGTTACGAAAGAGCGTTGAGCACCGAGTGGTTCCAGGAAGCCACGTTGAGCGCCGAGGCGACAGACGTGCCGCCTTCACGGACCGATTTTCAGCAAGAATAAAATAATCCACCGCATCTCATGTCGGTGTTGTGTTTTATTAGCTGAATCGTCGGTGTTTAATAAAAGCCAGTCGGTTCGCAAAGATGACTTTCTTTCGCCAGTGGGCCCCCCTCCCTCCGCCTCAGAATGAATGGGTTCCTGTATTCAGGGCCCGAGCAGCTGCAACCAACAAGATGGCGTTCGGAGCCTTTTTCACCGCCGCGCTCTCTCAGACACAGAGGCAGCTGCCGAGCATCGGATGGGCCCAGGCTTTGCGTGCTAGGTGCCTTTGTGCATGAGCACGTCTCAGATTGAAACAGTTTTTAAGGCTGGTGGAATTTCTTGTCGGATTATTACGGCTCAGATTCAGGACAACATGGTGGGAAGGGGTGTTGTGCGTCTTGGCTGTGAATCTGATATCTGGGGAATCTTGTAACTGCAAGAAATACTTGTGTGATGAATTCACATTAAGTATTTCATACGTAGCAGAACTACAAACTGTGGTTACATGACTCACTTACCACACAATTTAAAATGCACAGTTCACATTATTTGTTTTTATTTCTCTTTTTGTTTGAATTAGATTTAAATTTCTCCCCCTCTGTATTAGCAAAATTATTTGTATACAAAGTGATTAACACATTGCATTTCATATATTTTCTAATGATCTGCTGCAGACTGAGGATGAGTGTTGATTTGAAAACTGTATGTGCACATCCAAAAGCATCAAATTGCCACAACTTGTGCAATAATAGATGGCTAACCTTTTTAATAGTTAGCTTGACCTGGAAGTGACCCACCGCTACTTCTGAGTCTTTTTTTGTTAATCAACATTTGTGTAAAGAGGTCAGTAATCAGAATCTATGGGTCATTCTAGGGGAAAAAATAAGCTTTCTTTTAGTATTATAGCCATCTGCATAAATTTTCCCTCTTTACACTGACGATGAGATTTGTGTTAAACGGATTGTCATTACACCGGTCAGTACTTATTTTTAATCTGCACTTGCAGGAGATAAATGGGATTAAATTCTTAATTTTTGAAATTTACTCGTTAGGTTTATATGCATTTTATGTTATTTCTGACTTAATTGTTGCATATTTTGATGTTGGGTGGTAAAAGTGTGTAAAAGTGTTCAAACTTTGCAACAAAAAGACCAGAAAGGAAAACACTTGAAAAAAATCAAATGCATATAATTTTTTAAATTAATAATATAAATACATTTATTTATATATATATATATATATATATATAATGAAAACCCAAATGCTTTTTAATTTGTTAAATATACTCATAATATGGTAAGTTCTGTAGAAGGTACTAAACCTGTTTGAGTCAGGTATTTGTACCTGCCTCGTAGTACAGTAGAGGAGCAAATCTTGGTTTGCATCAGATTTCCCAATAAAACAATTGTGTAACAATTTCTTCAGTGTGTTGAAGTGTCAACTTTGATTCATTTAAATCTTTGTTTGTGTGAGCTCTGACTGAAACAGCTACAGTGCATAGTATTTTTTGTAGTGGTGCACCGATTGCAGTTTTCTATCACCGATTTTCTAAAAAGTCTGACCTGCCGATACCGATTTTGTTTTTTAAGCGACACTGTCTGGTGTTATTAGGTCACAATGCACCTTTTAATTTTCCAGTATAATTTTATTGAAAAACATACCCTAGAACAATATCCTAGAAACAATACAAACTTGTTTTAACTGGCCATGAGGTAGTGCTCTGAAATATAAATGAAGTTCAGACAATTGTTAAAACTTAAAAAAAAAAAAACCTGTAAAATCGGTTTCTCATGCAAGTATCGGCCGATTTCCCAAAATTAAGGAAATCGGGGCCGATTTATCGGTGCACCCCTAAGTGTATAATTAAAGATGTTAGTTCTCATAGTTGTACACTGTGTATGCTTAGACATTTTATCATTTTATTTTTGTCTTCTGTTTTATCGTTTCTGTGTATGTGCAAAACTTGGGTGGCTGTAAAACAAAATGTAGAGAATATTGGAAAATCTAAAACTTAAAAAAAAAAACTTGAGCCCATAATAAAGAATGAGTGATTTTTTTGGGTTAATACAGCTGCATCAACATTAGGCAGCATGTTACCCACCTCATACACTGTTTCTTGCACTTTGATGCCTTTGTATCTGCAGATGAAGCTCCCAATGCTGGAAACAGTCAGCCTTGTGCACTTTGTTATGGTTACAGTTCTTAAAACATAAGTTTGCCAGTCTGGTAAGAAAGTGTTTATGGAATACAAAGAAAGGAAACTGTAGCCTACTAAATCGTCAGGATTTACTAAACTCTTTGGTTAAGAATATTCAGAATAAAATTTTACAGATCCCATTAACATTTGTGAGTTGGGTATTTAGCCAGGGATTGTGTCCAGCCCATATCGAACCGAACTGAGACAGTTGAACCAAACTGAAGCAATTTAATGACACCTGTGGAAACCTGTGCAGGTGCTTTGAGTTTAGTAGATGATTAGTGTGTCACACTCTGTTTAAAACATCCATGCCCTGCAACATTTGGGCTGATTTCTCCACAGTATTCTTCTTCTTCTTTCAGCTTTTCCCTCCAGTGGTCACCACAGTGAGTCATCCATCTCAATCTGTCCCTCTGCATCCTCTGTCCTCACTCCAACTATGTCCATGTCCTCTCTAACTGCTTCCATATATCTCCTCTTTGGCTTTTTTTCTTTTTCCTTACAGCTGCATTTCTAACATCTTTTTTTTTTTTTTTTTTCATTCAACCTTTATTTAGACAGGTAAATCCCATTGAGCCTCGAGGACTCATTTACAAGAGACCTGATTTCAACAAAGTGATGACAACAATGGACAACAGCGACAATAATAGACAGTTATAAAAAGGCATACAGATATTTTTTTCTTTTAAACAAATGGGATGGTAAAAAGTAGAAAACTAAAAACAGGAACATGTCTGCATTAGTCCTTGCCAGGAGTCCAACATATTTTTAAAGCCACTTAGAGAGGTCAAGGTCGAGAGCTTCAGGTCTTTTTGCAAGATATTCCAGGAAACAGGAGCAGAGTAGGAGAAGGCCCTTTTGCCAAGTTCAGTCCTCACTGAGGGAACACTGCAGGTAATAATGTCCTGAGAGTGCACGCTGTAGCTGCACTCACGCAAAGACATGTAGGAGGAGATGTATGAAGGCAGCAGACCAAGAAGTGATTTAAAGATGAAACTGTACCAGTGAGAGAGTCTGTGTGAAGTTAATGATGACCAGTTAACCAGTGAATACAGGGTGCAATGGTGGGTGTTACAACCTCCTCAAAACAACAAAGGTTAATTTCTGGCACTAGGTGTAACACAAACAACTAGATGTTGATGTCAGTAAAAGAATCATTTTATTTTACAATTTAGGAAATAAATATCAAACACCAGGGCAAAATAATAGGGAAAATGAAACAAACACAGATGCCGCCTCTGAGATGAAGCTCTTTATGGAGTGGTTGACAAGCTGCAACACATCTTACCTGTGGCAGGCAGGTAACTCTGAAACACAAGAAGTAAAAGCTCTCTCATGAAGAGAGCCCCTAGAGGTCAGTGACCGTAACAGTGGGTACGATAATCACAG